TTTTTTCGGGTCCTCGCAGCTTCGCTCTCCAGAGCCGCCCCAGACGAGTCAGGAGGGCCCCGAAAGGCCGGACGCGGTCCAAGAAAGCCCTGAATCGCCACAAGATTGTTCCAAAGGCGCTCAGGATGGTCTCGACGGGGCCCCAGGAGCCCTAAAGGCGCCGCACAGGTACCCCAAGAGCACTCCCAAGAGAGCCCCGAAGGTCAAGCCCGTAGATGTCCTGTAGGGTTTTGACGGATTTGTGCCTTTCCGCCTTCTCGGCTCCCCGAAGTTCCAAGACGGTCCATGAGCCTTTCAAGATCGCTCCAAGATGGCCCAAGACGCTCCCAAGACGGCCCCAAAACAGATCAAGAGGGCCCCCAGATGGCCCAAGAAGCTTCCAAGACGGCCCCAAGAGGGGCCTGGAGGGGGAACGCGGCCTGGCTCTTGTAGCTCTGAGCCCCAGAGAGCCCTGAGACTGCCAGCAGACCCCCGAGAGGCCCCAAGAGGCCGCCCAGAGGCTCAACAAGACGCCCCTTTAGAAGCCCCCGAAATGGCTTTCAAAGGACTTCGTAACTGCTCCACATGGACTCCCGAGAGGCCTCCCAAGAGACCCCAAGAGGCATCCAAGAGAACACTGACCCACAAACACAGGAAGAGTGGCGGGATGCTCTGAAGCTTATTAGGGCCCAAAGACGGGGTTGCTCTCGAGAAGCCGAAATCATTTAAACACTAGAGGCACATCCCTACCTTGGCCTGGCGTCTTTTCGCCTGTGATGCGGCTCCGAGGGTACACGCTCGCCCAGAGACAACCCCAGAGAGTCCCGAGAGGAACCTCCGACACGCCCAGGCCGATCCCACAAGCTGCCCAAGATGACCTCAAGAGAGCCTCAAAACGACCCGAGAGACCTTTCAGACGGCCTCAGAGCGCCGCCAGCACAGTCTCCGAAACCGTGAGCGGGCCGAAGAGCCCCTACAAGTTCCAGAGAATCCTCCCAGGGTCACCAACAGGTCCACCAAAAGTATCCAACACGCTTCTAAAAGTGGCCACGATCTTTGTTTTGTCGGCGTCCTTTTGCATGTCTGTCCAGGATCTCGCTGTCTCGGGCGACATTTGAAAAATGGGCAAGGTGGGATCTCCCTTCCTTCAAGTGCGCGTTGCATCCTCTCACTTGAGTAGCAGGGAAGATGTGAATTATTTATTTTTATTTCAAGTGCACGTGCCCTCCCCTCCTGTCCACTTCCGCCTCCAAGCCGACGTCGGCATCGCAGTTCTGCGGCCTGCGGGCGCCCTGGGTGCAGCTGATTCTCGGCGGCGAGCGAGGGGGGGAAGTGAGAAGGAGAAGGCCTTCTCAGAAGGCTCGGAAGTCCCCCGGCCGTCTGGGAAGTTTTCTGAGCCTTCCCCGAAGACGCAGAACGCCTCTCAGACGGCGCGAGGGCTCCTGAGCAGCCCCGCCGCCTGCTGAGAAGGCCTTCTCCTCCTCGCCTCCCCCCCCCTCGCTCGCCGCCGAGATTCGCTCGGCCCCCCGGTCTGGTCTGGTGAGGCTCCGCCTCCCGCTCGTCCCCTCCCCTCCCCCTGGGAGCGTGAGGGCAGCCGGCGCCTCGTGGCTCGCGGTCCTGTGCCGGGGAGGCACTCGTGCCCTCTCCCGGGGCGCGGCGCCAGCACGCAGAGATGGTTCTCTTCGCGTCGATGCGTGCGCGTCTCGTTCCCGAAAGCTGACCGCCGGTGCAGTGTACCTCTGCCGCGCCGCCGACGAGACGAGAGCATGCATCGTTCCCACTCTCTCTCTCTATGACCCATCTCCCTTCCCTCCCCTCTCTTGCTGCACCTCCTCCCCTCCCCTGGAGCTTCTCCCCGAGGCCCAGACAGGGCCGACGGGGACGGTCGGAAGAGCCCCCTCCCTCTTCCTGCACCTCCCTCTCTCTCTCTCTCCCTTCCTCTCTTACGGCACCTCCTCCCTCTTTTAGTGCAGCCTGTCAGTTGCTCTGCTAATTGCTGTCTCTGCTCCTGCTCCGTCCTCTTCCCAACCCTTCCTTTACTCCTGCCTTTCACTCCTCTCCTTTCCTTGCCCTGCTTACCGCCTCACTGACTTTCAGGGCTTCCCATTAAAACATGGAATTGTTTACGCTTCGCGAATCCCCACCAGCCCGTTCGCGACCTTCCGCCGCTGGCGCTTCCGCCTGCTGCTGTAAAAAAAAAAAGAATCCCCACCAGTTCGGTGACACCCGATGTCTGGCTTCGCCAGGGAGTGGCCCTGCATCGAGTGGTTCAGCCTTCTGCAGTTCTTGGTCGCTCCTCTAGCAGAGCAGTCTGCTATCAGCCCCCGTCAGTACATTGCATCGTTTTGCCCCCGAACCTCGAGAGTCGGATACGATGTGCACGCACTGGCCCCGGCTGGAGGTGGCTCAGCCTCGTGAGCGCACACCAGTGGTCTTCCTCTACTGGATGGCGCTCTGACGGGTTTCAGCTACACCTCAGCTTCAGTGAGCCATGATGAGTCAGGCCCCGTTTTGCCGCACCATCGTTTACGCGGTGTGCTGCAGTGAGCCTTTGGTTGTGGCTCGCTTTTGCTCCCTCCCCCTCCCCTCTGCCGTGGTCTTGGGCAGCCCGTCTCTGTGTGCACGCCTGTTGGCTTCGTTTGGCCAGTGGCCATTCGGACCCTCGTTCTGCCTGCAGCTTTACTGTGCCGCGCCGTCCGTCCTGGCCTCGCCCCCGTTTGTGGTTCGGCTGGAGCTTGGCGCCGAAAGGGCAACTTCTCCCCCCCGTTCCGCCGCCGGTCGCCGCGCCTCTGCGTCCCCACCTGCTGGGATGTCGGTGCCGGTCACCTGCCGACGCCGTCTGCGTCTTAATGGGGGTCATTGTGTCCCTGGCACGTGCATTCGCCACTGCGGCCAATTATCTTCGTACCGCGCCCCGGACGCTGACCCGCTTCAAGTCCTTCGCCTTGGAGCCGCGAACCAAAAAGAATCCCCACCAGCCCATTCAGGAACCCTGCCCATGAGAGCTGACGGGAAAAGGGACGACGAGACACATATTGTGAAGCAGAGCGTGCAAGGAGAGGAGAGAAAGGAGGGTGTTGAGCCATCTTGGAGGCTATCTTGGAACATCGGAGGCCTTCTTTGAGCCACGGGGCTGTATTGGGGGATATTGGGGTCCTTTTGGGGCTCTTTTGGGGCGCCTTGGGGCCCTCATGGGGCCTTCTTGGGGCTCTCTTGGGGCTCTCTTGGGGCCCTCTTGGGAGCTATGGAGCGTCTCCTGGGGCCGTCTTGGAAACCATCGATCAAAGGAGGGGGGTCCTCGATTTCTCTCCCCCCTCCGGGCCATCGAAATAGCATTTTGGGGCGCTCTTGGGGCTCTCATGGGGCGATTTTGGGCGCTCTTGGGGCAGTCTTGGGGGCCTCTTGGGCCCTTCTTGGAGCTTTCTTGGGCCATTTTATGGCCATCTTGAGGCCTCCAAAGCGCATCGGAAACGAAAAAGCGAGAAGGCAAACATCAGTTTTTGTTCAAGACGTTTTTGAATGATTTTGGCTTCCCGGGGAGGTCTTGAGGGGGTCGCCACCAGCATCTGGAACCGTCTTGCGGCCCTCTTGGAGCCTCTTGGAGGCATGTTGTTAGCTAGCTTGACCATGCTTGGCTATCTTGAGCGAACATTGGAGGCTATCTTAGGCTCTCTGAGGTCCTCTTGGCGCCATATGGGGCGAAAAAGGACCCTGACACCTCGCGGCCCCCCCGCCCAGGTCCAGGGTAGGGGGCAGGGGAGGGGCAAACCCCTGCCGAAGGGTAAGAGGGTTTTTTTGGAAGAGGGAAGAAAGATCTCGTTAAACCACCTGCGCGCAGAGGGTGGTGGGATTACCAGACATCCACATTGTTCAAGTTGCTCCCCCCTCTCCCCCGCCCCTCCATTCACTCAGGCGCCATCGGGGAGCCTGGGATGGCTCAAGATAGGTGCCAAGATGCCTGCCAAGAGCCCCAAGACCAGCCGTAGACGGCTCCAAAGACCCACGGAGCTTCCCAGGATGGCCTCCGAGAACCAAAACTTGCAGCAAGAAGCTAAGGGAGCTCTATAGTTGCTACATTCTTTCTTATTCGCTTAGGATTAGCCTCTGAGACCACAAGTTGGCCCCCAAATGGCCCCGGAGAGCCACGAGAGGAGCCCAAGATCTCCCCCAGGACGGCCCTTAGAGCTCCCCTAAAAGGCCTCACGAGAGCCCCAAGACGGCCCAAGAGACCTCCAAGACGGCCCCAGAGCACCGCCACAACAGTCTTCGAAGGCATTAGACGCGCCAAGACGGGTCTGCAAAGAACGAAGCAGGACCGAAGAGGCCCGAGAGGTTTACGAGGATCCCCCAGCCCCAAGCCCTCAGAACCTTCAAAAGGGGTCCACAATGGTGTTTGTTTCAATGTGCTTTCAAGATGCGTTCTGGATATCGCTGTCTCATGCCCCACTTGAAACAATGGTAAGGTGAGATTTTTGTTTCAAGTGTAGTTACAAGTTCAACACCGCCGTCGAGGCCGAAGGCGGCAGTCACGGCGCACGCCAGGAGATCTCGAAGAGGCCTGCAAAATATGGTTTCCCCCCGCTTTTGATGTGTTTGCTGTTTCGATTTGTGTCGGGCTACAGCTGAGAATGATTGGAAGTCACTAGTTCTCTCCACCCGACAGTCTGGGGTTGTGAGATTTTTAGTGAGATCCCGTCTGCCCACCCTGCATGCCGTGGCCGCCAGACCCCGGTGTCCCCCTGGGAGTCCCGCCTCGCGTCCTCGACGAATGACGACACCCTGCATACCGCGGCCGCAGACCCCGAAGGGGGCAGGTGTCCCCTGGGTGTCCCGGACGAATGAACAGATACATCAAGGAAAAACCCAAATATGAAATCTCAAGAAGAGACTCCAAGAATAGACATCAAGAACAGACAGCAATACATACGTCAGGAGCATTCATACGAATGCTCCGTAGCTTTCGAGTAGGGATCGCTCGAAGCAAACTGTTTTTCGAGAGCGCGTTCCGGCTTCTGGTCCGTAGTCTTGTGCCCAAGCTCACGCAGCGCGGAACGGGAGGCCAAGTGGAGCAAGTCCTGACTACCCAGGCGGTCTCGCTGTTGCTGGCGTTGGGAGGATGGCGACCGCCTTCGAGCCGAAGTGCACGCGGCACACCTTTGCCTTCATTTTCCCACTGGCGTCAGGCCACGTTAACCCGTCGCTGCCACTGGCACGGGCTCTGGTGCAGAAGGGCCACGCGGTCCACTACCTGTCCTTCGACCAGCTCCGCGAGGCCGTGGAGGACACGGGGGCCACGTGGCACTCGGCCGTGGAGCACCAGACCGAGATGTTTGGGAGCTCTTCGCGGGTGGACGTTCTGAAGGCTCGTGGCGATTTGCTCGCGGAGGTGGGCCTCGAGGTCAAGTTCCTGCATGTCCTTGGGGTCAGGAACATCGTCCTCGAGCGCACCGTGCCAGGGACCGAGCGTTTCTTGCGCGAACTGCGGCCGGACGGGGTGGTGTACTGTCCCCTGTCCTGCCCGGACGCAATGCTCGCCGCCAAGGTGGTCGGCATCCCGTCCGCGTCGCTTAACACCATAGCGGGCCCTGGAGCTTTGGCCACAGCTCTCAAGTCTGCTCTGAAGGAGGAGGGAGTGAGCATCGACGCCTTCCGGCGCTGGGTGGACTCCTTCGGGCCCGACGCCGCGGCGGTGGGCCGCCTCAACGAGCGCTATGGCCTCGGCCTACAGCCTGGGCTCGCCATGCCTCTCGGCAAGGACATCGGCGTCAGGTTCGCTGCCGTGAACCTGGTGACGACGACCGAGGACTTGCAGGACCCCATGGCGCCCGAGCTGGCGAGGGCGTACGAGGCGGACGGCTCCAGCTTCGCCTTCGTGGGGCCCCTCCTGGACGCGGAGGGCGCACGCCGCGCGGCGGGGCACCTGTCAGCTCGCGCAGACGACGGCGAGGCACGGCTGGCGGGCCATGGGGGCCCCACCTCCGCCGAGGTGCTCGAGAAGGTCCGCGCGGCGCACACCTCCGGCCGGGGGGTTGTGCTGGCGAGTATGGGCACCGTCATCACCGGTGACATGCCAGGGCTCGGCTGGGACGCGCGCGCCAAGGGCCCGGACGGCCTGGACTATGGGCTCACTGGCCGGGAGCTTTGCCAGGCGGCCTGGGGCGGCCTTTTCCGCGCCCTGGGCGCGCCCAGTGAGGGCGAGGGCCCGCTGCTGGTGGTGTCTGTGGGGCCTCAGGCATCGCCGCTCGGGGACCTCGCCGCGCCGCCCAACGCGGTCTGCGCTCCGGTGGTGCCGCAGGTCGACGTCCTGAGGGCCGGGGTGGACCTCTTCCTGACGCACGGCGGCCAGAACAGCTTCACCGAGGCGCTGGCGCACGGCACGCCTGTCGTCGTCTGCCCCGGCTTCGGGGACCAGGTCGTGAACGCCGGCAAGGCCGTCGACCTCGGCGTCGGGCTCAAGGTGGACAGGCCCCGCCCCCCCGTGGAGGGGGCGGCCGCGGCAGCCGCGCAGTACGCGGCGGAGGTGAGCGAGAAGCTGCTCGAGGTGTGGCGGTCGCCGGCGCACCTGGCGGCGGCGGGCGGCTGCGCGGAGCGGCTGCGGCGGGCGGGCGGCGTGCCGCGCGCGGCGAGGCTGGTGGAGGAGATGGCGGCGTGGCCCGTCGAGCAGCAGGCAGCCGTCGGCGGGGCCTGACGGCCTGCGCCGGCGGGGGGCGGGCGGTGCTGCAGCGCGCTTGGAGGCCCTGCAGCCCGCACCTTGTCTTTCCTGCAGGGAAGGCATGTCGGGGAGTCGCATCCCATAAGTAGCGACCACTGGCGCCCGCACCGCGCTCAGTAGCGCTCAACTCAGCGCCGAGCAGCGCCCGAATGGCGCAACAGAGCTAGCGCCCAATGGCGCCGCAGGAGGGGGATGCATCACGTCCGCGTTGCGCGATGCTGGACGCGCTATTGGGCGCCACGGGGACGGCCAATAGCCTCCGTGAGGCAGTACAGGTCCCTGCGCCCCGCGATCTGTCCAGCTTTCCCCCCGGCTGGAGGCCCGCGGTCACACAGCGCGGGCGCCTCGCCGCGGCCTCCTCGGAGCTTGTTGCATGCTTGGGGCTGCGGATGTCAGCTGCGTGTCGAGTGCAGTGCGGTCGGCTCAGCTGCTCGTGGCTCCCCCTGGAGGGTACAGCCTCCCTCGGGAATTCGACGGATGGATGGAGGACTGCCTCACAGAAGGTGAGCGCGGGGGTGCTTCCGGAAGCGCCATATGGAAGGCATTCGTCGCCCAACAGAGATGCGAGCGAAGAACGGCAGTGCCCCTCAGCCGCCAAGAGTCGGCCACGCGCAAAGGTGGGTACGGGGAGGGGGGAAGGCTTCTTAGGAGCACCCCTGCTTCTTAGAAATCGAGGGACTTCTCTGTAGATGTGATGCCGGCGCCTTCTAAGGAGCATCCTCCTTCTATGAGGCCTTCCCCCTCCCTCTACCCCCCTCTGCGCGCCGCCAAAAAACCGCACTTCTCGTGGCGAAGATCCTCTGCGCCTGAGGCCTCCTCCCGCGTTCCCCCGCCGCGGCCGCCATCTTCCAGTGTGCCTCTGCCCAGCGCGGCCCGCTGGCTGTTCGACCGCGTCAGCGCCCTCCTCTCCGCTGACCAAAACGGTTCCGGCTTCTGGCTTGGCCTCCGTCGGATTTTTCCCCAGGCGTCGTTCTTCACCCCAGATCAATTTGCGATCGCCCCGGGACCCCTCTAAAGCCAGAACCAAACAGAAAAAAATACGCGAACCACAGAAGAGATAAGATCACGTCGCCGAACGACATTCGACGCCAGACGATAGAGGAATTGTATCAACACGAAGGACGTCGACGTCGACGACGACAACCACGGTGATGACGACGGCGACGGACGATGCTCGACCGACGACGGACGCGGTGGACTTTTGCGCAGTCATGACGAATTCAGACAAGTTGTTTGTTCCTGATGGCCCGTCCTCTTCCCTCGGCTATGGGTTGTCCCTCGCCTCAGCTAGAACTCAAGCGCGCGCGAAGCGCGTGCGATTGTCCCAGTCTTTAAGGATCCGTGTCTGTGTATCAGCGTCCTCGTGTCTGCCAGAGGGGACCCGCGAGGGTCGATGGGCCTGAGGCGGCACGCTCGCGAAAAACAAATCAGGAGGAGGAGAAGGAGGAGGAGGACCAGGGTAAACCCACGACTCTTCAACGATGTTGGAATCAACCCTCCCTCCAAGCTCCGTCTTCACAGGCCCCTACCAGGGTTCATTTCCACTGAGGGAGCTGCTGCGTTGGAAGACAGCCGTTTGAAGACCCTGAAGCATGCCAAAACACCATTCTCGGGACTCCAACGCCGCGGATCAACCTGGCCGTTGCGTCTTGACGATCCAGAGTCCTGCCAGAACACCATCCCTGGCATTTCAACACCGCGAATCAACGTAACAGTCGAACCCTCACACTTCTGAGTCTTTCCAGAGCTATTTCTGGTACGTTGACCTTGGGATTCAGTGAACATCGTCCATTAAAAAAGGCAAACGTGCGCTGTGCTACGGCGAGAGCCGCATTTGAAAACGAGCCGCCTTCCATCCGTGAAGCTCCGGCAATTTTTCAGAGCGAATGTGCGCGGCGCTAGGGCGAGAGCCACATTTTTGAAACCGCCCGCGCTCAATCCGTGAAGCTCTTGCAATTTTCTGCAAAGGAATGTACGCAGCGCGAAAGCGAGAGCCACATTTTGAGAGCGACCCGCCCTCCATCCGTGAAGCTGTTGCCAATCTCTAAGCTTCAGGGTCATAAATGGTGAGGAAGTCTCAGGCGAAATGACCGGCCCGCCCTTTCAACCGGATGCAACTGGGAGGAGTTACTTATGTGGAAAAGGATGGAGGAGGATGGAGGAGGAAGAGGAGGAGGAGAAGGAGGAGGAGGAGGAGGAGGTGTACGGGGAGTGGAGTGGCCGGGCTTCGTTACCGAGCAAAATGGACTTCGCTGCCCGGATTCTTCCATGCCGTCTCGCATTCTCTCCCCTCCCCTGCCGCGCTGCTCAGCCCCCTGGAGGTGCGCTCTTGGGCGAGCGAGACCAGGGGATCTGTGGCATGCCCTCCTATCCTGCCGCGCCCCCTCCTCGTCGGCTTCGTCGGTGCCCAGCTGCGTCGGTGTCACCGCCCAAAAGGGCTGGGGGAGCCCCGACGGGTGGGGTGCGGTGCTGACGTCCCGACTGCAAGACGCAGGCCCCCGCGATGGCGCGAGAGCGGGGTGGACCGAGGGCGCCCGCTTCGTAGACGGGGGTGCACGGTTTCTCCAAGAGTCAAGAGGGGACTCGGCCTGGAGGGTATTCGAGATGCCGACGCCTCTACCTCGGCGGAGGGCGGCGGAAGGGCGGCGGACGCAAGCCAGCACGCCTCGTCGGCTCAGAACGCACATGAACGTGTTTACTCTCGTGCGGGGTCCCAAGTCTCACCTCGCGAGTACTGTTCCTCGGATGTTCTCCGAGCCTCGGCCCACCATGCCTGTCGCTGTCGCGGCGCCCAAGACGTGGAGCTGAAGGTCCCCCTCTTCAGCAGCGGCGGCGGGGTGAGCGCTGGGCGGTGGCTGGGCCAGCGGAAGCTGACGGAAGGAGAACGGCAGCGGCTCCGCAGCCAGAAGCTCGGCGGAAGGTGGTGGATGTGCAGGGGAAGCGCCGGATGTTCGGACTCAGGGGTTTGGAGTCGGCCAAGTGGGCAGCAGATTCTCATCGCGCCTCCACAGCGCCCCGTACAGCGACACCGCCGCCGTTGTCGTCGCCCTGCTGCCGCGAGGCAGACTTGGCCTACACGGCCGCCCTCGCGATGCAGAAAGGTCTCCCGCAGCTCTTGTTGTTAGATCAAGAATGACACGTAGTAGGAGGATGATCCATGTGGAATGGCGGTTTATTGACAAGGGCATTGCTGCTTTATGCAAATTTGCCTACGGCGAATCAGCTCTGCTCCCTGCCTCTTGGAAACGCCTATCTTACCAAACGCTGGGCCGAAGTCTTGCCAGGCTGTTGGCCAACGTGCTCCCCCCAGCCGTTGTGGAAACCCGTGAAGGAACACTTGTGGGATGATGGGGGAGGCGGAGGTGAGGAGGATGAGGATGAGGCTGGGTATGAGTATGATGATGACGGGCTGCTGCTGATGATGCTGCTGCTGCTGATGATGCCGATGATTAGGATGATGATTATGAGGATGCGGATGATGCTGATGCTGATGCTGCTGATGATGCTGATGACGATGACGATGCTGATGATGATGATGACGACGATGATGATGATGATGATGATGATGATGATGATGATGATGATGATGATGATGATGATGATGATGATGTCGATGATGCGGTTGATGCTGATAATGATGATGCTGATGATGATGGTGATGGTGGCGATGGTGATGACGATGACAATGCTGATGCTAATGATGACGATGCTGATGCTGCTGATGATGATGACGACGATGCTGATGATGCTGCTGATGATGACGATGATGATGATGATGATGATGATGATGATGATGATGATGATGGTGGTGCTGATGCTGATGCTTATGCGGATGCGGATGCTGCTGCTGATTATGATGATGATGCTGCTGATGCTGATGATGCTGATTATGCTGATGCTGCTGATGATGCTGATACTGATGATGGTGATGATGATGATGATGCTGCTGAGGATTATGATGCTGCTGATGATGATGATGCTGATGTTGATGGTGGTGGTACTGATGCTGATGCTGATGCTGCTGTTGATGCTGATGATGCTGATGATGCTGATGAGGATGAGGATGCGGATGATGATGAGGATGATGATGATGCTGATGGTGCTGCTGCTGCTGCTGCTGAGGAGGAGGAGGAGGAGGAGGAGGAGGAGGAGGAGGAGGAGGAGGAGGAGGAGGATGAGAAGGAGGAGGACGAGGAAAAGGGTGCATCTTGGGGGCCGCTTGGAGCCTTCTGGGGGGCTCTTGGGGGTCTCTTGGGTGCCCCTTGGCGGCCTCTGGCGGAGGTCCTCTATGGGGGTCCTCTGGGCTGTCGTGAAACAGTTTTTGGGCGCTTGAGGGTCGTCTTGAGGTCTGTGGGGCCGTTTTAGGGCCCTCTTGGGGCCCTTCTTGGGCTATCTGGGTACCCTCTCGGGGGTCCTCTTGGGCCGTGATGTGGCTATCTTTGAGGCATCTGGGGCCGTCGTCGGATGTCGGAGGCCAGAAGTGGCGACAGTCCTGAAGGCCATCTTGGGCCATCCTGACCGTCTTAGAGGCCACCATCTCCATTTCGTAAGGATGTATCACATTAAACGCTTGTTCTGGGCCGGCGGGATGAGGGTCGCCTGAGTCTTTCCTCGTGGCTGGCGGATCAAGCTGAAGGCCATTGGGAACTCTTAAGCAGGGCTTTCAACGGTACAAAATCCAGGACGTTAATCACTGTAGTGACGCTTATAGTGAGTCATTGCCGTTTTTCGTCTTTTGGAAGCGCTTGTGTGGCCGAACGCTGTGGCCAGACCTCGACTACGTTTTCGGATCATGTTGTTTCCCAGCTGTTGTGGAAATGCTTCTGGGAACACGTGGGGGAGAAAGAAGACGAGGAGGAGCCATCTCTGCGTGTTTTTCTTCAGGTTCTCTCGGAGGCCTCTTGGGGGTCCCTCGAGCCGTCTTGAGCCATCTTGGAGCCATCTTGGGCCATCTTGGGGTGCATCTTGGGCCGTCTTGGAGCAATCTTGTGGCCGTCTTGAGCCATCTTTGAGCCATCTTAGACGTTGGAGGCATCTTGGAGGCCATCTTCAGCCATCTTGGCCGTCCTTGGAGCGGAAAGACTGATGACCAGGCAAATCCACGCAGCTGTCCAGGATGCTGGCCAGCTCGGCACAGACCCCACTGGGAACCTTTACAAAGAACGAAGGCAACTAGACCGCCAGCACGCAGCTTACCCCTGCGGCAAGCCACAGGGGGCGGCGGATCTGGTGGCCTTCGACCCATCCCGCCACCGCGCCCGGGGGGCACAGGCCTCTTGGATGCCTGTTGTGATCTCATGGGAGGCCTTTCAGCAGGAAGCTAGGCAGCCTCTTGGTGGAAGTTTTGGGGTGCCTTGGGGCCTCTTTTGGGTTTCTTTTCGGTCTCTCTGGGGGGCCTCTTTTGGGCCTCTTGGGGGCCTCCTGGGAATCCTTGGGAATCTGTTGGGGTTCCGCTGACGGTCTCAGGATAATTTTTGGGCCGAGGACTCGACATGTCAGTTCGCGATCCCCCTCTCGGGCCCCTCCTGGGGTCCTCTTGGGGCCCTCCTGGACCGCCTTGGGGGCCTCTTGGGCTGTCTTGGGGCTATCTTTGAGGGCCTCTTGCGCTGGCGA